GCTGCGAGGAGCCGCGCCGCGAGGAGCGCGGCCCCCGCGCCGGTGAGAACCCGAGAGCCCGCCGCGCTGCCCGCCCTGCCCGCCGCGCGCAGTGCGGGGCAGTGTGCGGGACAGCGCGGGGCGGTGTGGGACAGTGTGTGGGACGGCGCCGGGCGGTGTGGGACAGTGTGGGACAGCGCGTGGGACAGCACGGGGCGGTGTGGGACAGTGTGGGACAGCGTGGGGCAGCGCGCGGGACAGCGCGGGGTGGTGTGGGGCAGTGCGGGGCAGTGTGGGACAGTGTGGGACAGCGTGCAGGACAGCGCCAGGTGGTGTGGGACAGTGTGGGACAGCGCGGGGCAGTGTGGGACAGCGTGCAGGACAGCGCCAGGTGGTGTGGGGCAGTGCGGGGCAGTGTGGGACAGTGTGGGACAGCGCGCGGGACAGCGCCAGGCGGTGTGGGACAGTGTGGGACAGCGTGGGGCAGCGCGCGGGACAGCGCGGGGTGGTGTGGGGCAGTGCGGGGTGGTGTGGGACAGTGTGGGGCAGCACATGGGGCATCACGCGCTCCCCCAGCTGCGACAGGCGGCAGGGACCGCATCAAAGCTGGGAACTACTGGGGAAGGCTGTCTCCTGTCTGGGGCCCCGGGACGCTTCCCTGTTGTGACCGAGGCCCTTCCCCAGGCTGGAGCTTGCCCCTGGTGGGCCAGGACTTCCTGGAGATCCTCTCTGCCTGGTACTGCAGCTTCGGCAGCTGCGGCGCGACGGGGGACTGCAGGGTGCTCAACAACGTCACGGGTAGGTCCTTGGGACCCCTAGCCGTGCCTTTCAGTGGTGCACTTGGAATGATCCCTGCTTTGCCTAAACACAATTAAAACCAAGCGATGTAGGCGAAGGACGGTCCCCAGCTGGGTGCTGAGCAGGCAAGGAGGGCTGAGGAGCTGAGCCCAGTCCAGTCTCAGAGCAGTGTTAGTTCTGACACTGCATCTCTTACCACACAGCCTATCTATCTGCTCTGCTTTTCCCCAAGGCCCGTCCTGGTCCATCCTGCGGTTCCCAGGTGCATGCAGCAAGATCCAGCCTGGGCCAGGACCAAGTTGCAGGCCAGGCAGCTACACTGGGGCTATCACGCTAAGCCCATGACCAGTGTCATTGCATTTCACTGGCACTGAGACGTGAGACGAGTGCTCTCTTCACAGTCATCAAGTATTTCCTCCAGTTTCCAAAGGAAAAAGGGAGTCAGTGGAAGAGTTGTGCCATTCTGCAGTCAGCGGCACACAGGGGAGAGTGCAGGTTTCTCCCTCACTGCACTCAAACTTCTTCAAGTCCTGCCTGTCTTGCTAACCCTGCAGCTCTAACGCCAGCTCTGGCGCCCTGGCCCCACCAGCAGGGTTAGGTGGGCCCAGCTCCATGGCTCATCTTCTCCTCTTGCTCTCACCTGAAGCAGTAGCAGCTGGAAATGGGGTGTTGAGGCTGCGCTCCTGTTCCTGCAGGCCTTGAATCGGAGCTCAACGGGCAGCTCCATGGGCAGCACTTGGCTGGAGAAGTTGTTTTGCGGGCGGTGCGAGGGTTTCTGCAGAAGCCACAGCCGGAGAAGGCGCTGGTGCTGTCCTTCCACGGCTGGTCTGGCACGGGCAAGAACTTTGTGGCCCGCATGGTGGCCAGTCACCTGTACCGGGACGGGCTGAGGAGCGAGTGCGTCAGGACGTTCATCTCGCTCTTCCACTTCCCCCATGCCCAGTACGTGGACTCATACAAGGTGAGCGCCCTCGGCACAGGGCTGCTCGGGTTGGTCTGGGCTTGGCGCCTCTCGGAGATCCCTACTCCTCCTGCTGCTCTGCAGGTTCAGCTGGAGAAGCAAATCAGCGAGACCACACAGCTCTGCCAGCAGTCCCTGTTCATCTTTGACGAAGCAGAGAAACTTCACTTTGGCCTTCTGGATGCCATCAAGCCCTTCATGGCTCACCGTGACAACAAGGACCAAGCAGGCAATCGGAGATCCATCTTCCTCTTCCTCAGGTGACTTCTGGTGCCCCAAGCATATGGGCAGGAACAAAAATGATGGTGTTTTGTCCCTAGGGCTTGTGAGGAGCTCGGGTTTGGAGGGGGCCTATCGGGTCGGTTGTGCTCATTGATGCTGGCCACCCTGCCTGGGTACAGGTCAAATACTGGCGGAGCTGGGGTCCAGCTTAGCAGAGACACCTGATCTGCTGCAGGGCTTCTGTGATGAGGCCCCAGCAAGAGTTGCAGCCCAGTGGCTGCGCGGAGCACCCTGCCCGTCCGAGCAGGGGAGCCCTGCACTTCGGGGAGCCAAGCGGGCGCTGTGGACCCTGCTGCGATGTTCTTGTCTTGCACAGCACTGCTGCGCTGGGCAGCAGCGGAGAGGGGCAGCTCTCAGCTGCCTGCCCACATCCAAGGTGCCAAGGCCAAGGTGCCTTAGTCACTTGCGCTGCAAGGGCCGACCCCAGCATCGCCTCTTCATGAGGTTTAGTGAGTGCAGGTTTGGTCCTTTCCTAAGAAAGGACTTGACATCTCCACGCCGTAACACTGTCCCCAACTCAGGCCTAGGTAGAGCAGCACGTGGAGAAGCGTGACACCCCAAAACCAGGGAGCGAGGCAAAGGAACGCCAAGGAAAGAAGCATCTTGAGCACCTCCGTTGCATCTGATGCATGGCCTTCCATCTGGTTCTGGCAGGCAGCTGGTGGCAGGACGGTTGTGGAGCCTCGTTCTGTTTCCTCTCCACCTAAGCGGCAATTCCTACTGGCTCCCCCGGTGCAGACTCGTGCTCTGGCCTCCTGGCAGACTGCCCGTGTATCTCCTGGCGTTTGCAGAACGGACCAGCTTCCAGTCCTGCCCACGCACACCCCGTGTTGCCGGGAAAGGAGGAAATCCTGCCTGGTTGTGCTCCCGTCCCGCTCAGGCGGCCACGCGAGCGGCCCGCGTGCCCTGGCAGGCCTTGCAGGCAGGTGTCGCAGCCCTGGCTGCCAAGGGAGCAGGTTGTCTTGACCTGCAGCAGCAGGGAGGGGCCTCGGGGCCCTTCCATAACCTGCTGTGGCAGCCCGACCCAAAGCTGCCCCAGGAGGGCCGGCTGCCCATGCGGGCCTGGGCAGTACCGATGGGCCGGGCCTGGCTGCGTCTCCTTGGCCAAAGGGGCTGCTTCTCCTGCAGTGATGGAGCGTGCAGGGACAGCAGCTGGGGATGAGGAGGCAGCCTGGCACCCTGTGCCCCTGCCGCGGGTTCCCTGCTGTCCCACGGGCAGGACGCGCTTTGCCAGGCGTTGGGCTGCTGCCCGAAGAGCTGCCAGGGCTCTGCTGCTAGTGGGGTGCTGCCGTCCGCGCAGCCCTCTGCCCTGAGAGCCCGGCTTAGAGTTTGGTGGGATGCCAAGTGTCACCTGCAGAGTCAGCTGCATCCCAGCCAGGATGGGAGACGCCGGCAGTGGGTCACTCTGCTGGCTCCTGCTGCCACCCTGGGCAGGAAGCAGCTCCCCCAGGCTCCGTGCTGGCAAGGTGGAAAGCTCTTGTTCCATAAATGTGTACAGAGGGGAGCTCACTGAGAAGCGAGTTCCTCTGTATGGGAAAGCCGTGGGTGCTGACCCTACACTAAATCCCCCACTGCTAATAGGATTGCTGAGCCTGCTTGTAGAGGGAGCTGCTGGCAGCCCCGAGCAGTTTGTTGCTGGGGTTGAGGTTGAGCAACATACCTTGTTTCTGCAGCAGCATCGGTGGTAACGCCATCAACGAGGTGGCCCTGGACTTCCGGCGAGCCAGGCGGCCGAGGGAGGAGATCCCCATGGAGCTTCTGGAGCAGCGGCTGCGGCGGGAGCTGCTGCAGCCTGCAGGTAATGGAGCCGGGCTGCTGCGCCTTGTGCCACAAAGGAGGGTGCTCCAGGCAACGGGCATCTCCTCCACAGCCCAGGGCTGCTTTTCGGCTCCCAGCTGTGCCAAGGGGCAGCCAATGTCTCAGGGAGGTGCTGAGATTCCTCGCAGCATAGCTGTGGTCAGATGAAGTGCTGGACAACTTTTGTAAGTGGGTGTCTTTCTCCCACCACGTAGGCCTGGATGAATTGCCCAAGAGCCACTTTGGAGACAGAGATGTTGCCTTTGCAGGGGGTGCCAGATCCCAGCTGAAAATGGGGACCCCCCCCGCCCCCAGCGATGCCACCTGGCCTCCCTACCAAGCTGGGTGCCTCCGAGCGCGCAGCCTCTGCTGAGGCCAGGCTGAGCCTTGCGAAGCTCTGCAGCACAGGCAGCGATGAGCAGGGCTGCTCTGACCTTCGTGCTGCGCTGTGTTTTCCCACAGATGGCGGTTACGCCCGCAGCCACTTCCTCGAGGAGAACCTCATCGACTTCTTCGTGCCGTTCCTGCCCCTGGAGCGCCGCCACGTGAGGCTGTGCGCCAGAGACGCCTTCCTGGCGCGCGCGCTGCCCTACACGGAGGCAGCCCTTGACGAGGTGGCCAAGATGATGGTGTTCGTCCCCAAAGAGGAGAAACTTTTCTCAGCACAGGGCTGCAAATCTGTATCTCAGCGCATCAATTACTTCCTTCCCTGAACATCTGGTGGGACTTTGCCGGGGAGGAAGGTAGCTGTGCCCCTCGGAGCTGCCCTCTGCCCACACACTCAGGCTGCACGTGGGCAGGGACGGAAACTTCCCTTGTTACTGGGAGGGCTGTTGCGGGATCTTACTGAGGGGGACATGGAATAGCTTGTGCTTGATTGTCACCCAGTCGAGTCGGTGTTTTGGAGTCCCACCTTTTAGCAGGTAAAGGCCTGAGCAGTGCTGCATGATGCTGCGCTGCAGGCAGGTCCAAGGCCCCGCGCTGCTGCTGTATCCTGAGGGCCCCGGACAGACTGGCGCTCCGTCTGGTGGAATCTGCCCCCTGCTCTCTTGGTGCCTTCGCGAGCCCCCGTGCTGCACCCGCTGGCCACGCTCCTGCTGTTCTCCTGCTTCCACAAGGTTGTCTCGTGTCCAGGGACACGTGTGACAGGTTTGTGCTCTTCACAAGGAGGCCCCTGCACAAAGAAAATGACTTTTTTATTATCTTCTCTGCAGATGCCAGATCCTTAGGCTCTTGCTTGGAGTGTCCCTGCTCTCCTTTTTGTTTTTGGAGCCTTCCGTTGTATGGAAGCCACTATGGGAATAAGCAGAACATATAGTGGGTGCTGAGATTAAAGTGACCTTTCTGAGTGTGAATTGCTGCTTGCCTTGCTGCAAGGATTGATTTAGCGAGAGACAAAAGCCCCTCTCAAGGCCAGAGGGCAGTGGAGTTGGTCAGTGGTTTGAAGAACAGGTTGCAGCTGAGTTCTGGTTTTCAGTTTTCTGAGATTGAATACGGGTGGGTTTTTTGTTTGTTTTGTTTTGTTTTTTTTTAAGTGCATTGCATGCTATGGCTTTGGCAGGTATCAGCATTGCTACACAGTGGGGCTGTTTGCTGTCTGGGTACTTGCCAAATGATAACTAGGTTACAGCAGGGCCAAAAATTTCAACAGCATTACAGGAATTGCTTTGTGACCCCCGGGTCAAAACTCGCTTCCAACAGAGCCAGGCCAAGGAAGATCAGATGAAACAGCACATGCCAAGGACAGCGTTTAGTCACCCGGGCGCTCAACGTGCGTCTGGACCTTGGATCCATTTTAAGCTTTGAGCTGCTCCGTGGTGCCAGGGGCGGGCACAAGCACCAGGAAAAGATTGACCAGCCGCTCTCAGTCCTGCTGCAGAGTCGTGTTTCCCTCCCGGCTCCGTCATCTCATGAGGCCTCGCAGTCCAAGGCAGCAGATGGGCTGGCTGCTTCCTTCTCTTGACGCGGTTATTTCAGCCTCGCTGATTGAAGGCTGGACCTGAAGGTTCGTGCCAGCCTGCGCCTTGTGAGGCTCCTCTGAACTGTAGCTTATGGACCATCATCTAACCAAAAGCCTCAATGCTGCCAAAACCTTGAGAAAGACAGGGGGGTCACGTGTGGGTGAGCTGTGGTGCAGCCAGCTTGCAGAGAAAATTCACCAGGGACCAGCTGAGATCTTTTAGGATGTCGAGCAGTTCCTGCTATTACTGGTTAAAACGCGGGTGTCCCTGATCACAAGGCGGCTGTCACGCTGGTGGTGCAGGAGCCTGCGCTGGGCTGCGTCACCCCACGGTGCCTGTTTGATGCCGGGTTACACGGCGGCAGCACCGGGAACCACCTCCCACCACCCCTGCCTGGCAGCAGGAAGGTCAGGCTTAAAGGCAGGAATAAAGATGGCTGCTGCTCTTTGCAAACTGGCACAATTATCTCCCGTATTAACAGGTTAATAAGTCTTCTTGTGTTGTCAAGGCCAAATAGCAAACGTCAGCTTGGTAGTGAGTAAGCTCAAATGTATTTAAAAAAAAAAAAAAAAAAAAAAAAAAAAAGCAGCAGCCTATATTCTAGTTTATTTGCCAATAAAATATTGCAACCTTTATTTAAAACAAAATGCAAATTGGCAAAACTTCGTGGAACGACAGGCAAAGAGGCCCTTCCAAGGGCCTTATTTACATCAAGTTTAACACTGTTCGCAGTTCACAGTCAGACAATAGTGAGAGAATTAAATTAGAAAAACAACCGAAATATATTACAATAACAATTTAAAACAAAAAACAGTTGACAACACTGCTAGAGTGATTGGTGATTAACGCGTTTCAATTTAATGCCTTCCTGCCCTCCATGCGCTCACTACTGCTGCAAAGCACGTGCCGAGCTGGGCAGCCGCCACGAGGTGCTGAGCGGTGGAAGCAGGAGGCTTCTGAGCATGCTGGGCTGCTGCCCTTCCGTTTGTCATCTCCCGGAGAGTGGTGGGGTGAGTGTTTTAAGCGATAAAGCCCAGCCGGTTGTGTGGTAGAAGACCATCGTGGTTGGTGAGCGTGGCCGGCGCGAGGGTGACGGGAGCGCGGCGGCTCCTCGGGCCGGCACCGCTGCTCCCTGCGCCTCCCTCCCAGCTGCTTATCGCAAAACTCCCAACCCAGCCCAGTGCTGCCAGGTGTAAGGAAGGCCTCCATTCAACGAAGGTGCTGCCAGCCAAGGGCCGAGTGCAGCAGGTTGCGACCCGGAGCCGGAGGGAGGTGCCCCCAGCCCCCTCGCTTTACAAACATTTTTTTTTAACGCGGACAATCAGCTCGATTCCACGTCCCTGCCTGCTCTTCCAGCTGGAGCTGCCCTGAATGACTGGCACCCAGGGGGGAAAAAAGGCTTCTTTCATGCTACTTACAAGAATTGCAGTAATGTCTATGAAAGGCTCAAGTGTTTCTGATTAGGGCACCTTTCCCTTGGGAATCACCCCAGTCCTGGACCCTCACTGCCCGGCTGAGGAGCGGCAGCACACAGGGAAACCCTGGATCTGTGACACTGCAGCAGCCTCTGCAACCCCTCTGATGTCTACAAGGCAACACGAAGCAGCTGCCCAAGACTCTTCCCTCTGCACATCCCCTTTCCAAAGGCGGAGGGCTCGGTGAGCAGGGATGCGTGCCTGCAATAGAGAGGGCTAAGGGAGGTAAGGTTAAACCACGAAAGCTCTCGGCACAGTCTAGGAGATACCAGTCTGGAGCGTGACCAGATTCCCAGCGCAGCCTCTTCCCCATTCCCCACTGCACTCAGGGATGCTTTTCGGCCCATCTCACCGGGCTGCCTGGGGGCTTCCAGCCACTTGTGCACACCAGGACCCCCTGCACACCATATGCAGGCAAAAGCAGCACAGTAATGCTTTGAAAACAGGTTTAAAATGCACTTTAGTCAAAACCAAAAAGGATTTAAGGTGCAAAGCAAGGCTCCATCGTGGCCAGCAGTGTGTGCAGGAGCGTGTCTGCATCTGGAGGTGGCTACTAGGCCTGTTTTCTCCCCTGCTCAGCTCGAGCGAGGGCTGCTGAGGGGGCTGTGCGCAGGTCCTGCCTTTCTGCGGCCAACGGGGCCACCTTCCGCCGGCAACTGCCTTGGCTGCAGGGCCCTGCTCAGCGGCCGCAGGAACCGTCCCCTCGGCGTGCGGCAGGATGGCAACCCCCAGGAAGCCACCAGGCTGCAGGGTTTTTGGAGCCGCTGCTTTTCCAGCGGCCACAGCAGCGCTCAGGTGCAGCCACACGTGCTGGCGGCTCGGCCTCACCTATGGCCTCAGGGTAACGAAGCAGAACGGGGCAGTCAACCAGGCAACAAGTTAGAAACAAGCTACAGCTTAAAAAAAAAAAAAAAAAAAAGAAAAAAAAACCCAGAAAACCACCCCCCCTCCTCCCCACCCTGCAGTAACGACAACACTGGCGAGCTGTGCAAGAACCCCAAACTACTCACAAATGACCATCAATTAGCACCCGTGCTCGACCACTAGAAATGGGTTTCAAGTGAGTGAAGGCTGCGTGCTGGGGAGGGGAGGATCCAGTGCTGAGCCTGCCCGGCATCCCTGATGCTTCATGTGCCATGGAAAGGAGGCCGTGTGACGGGTGAAGCGGACGGGAGGGAGAAGGGACGATTTCCACACATTAGCTCATTTTGCAGTTCTCCTTACGGCAGCACCAGCCAAGCAGGAGCCACTGGGCTCACACCTCCGCCTGCAGCAGCTCTGAGCACCGTCAGTGCATCAGCCCTTTCCCCAACCCAGCTTTGGCTGCTGTCCTTTACAGCTCCAATCTACCCCCTTCCTCCCCATTTTTGAGATGAACCTGTAAACGTGAGGAGAACTCAGTGATCTGAGGTACTTCACATACTCAAGTATCAGTCTTTCCTTTTGAAAGCATCAGTACAGAAAAAGACCCCCCCCACACACACACACACACCAACACACCCATGTGTGTTTCTCTTACCCAGATTGACAGTAGCTACCTTTGCACCACATCGCTGATTTCTTGGACACAAGACAATAAGTTATTAAGGACAGGGTTTGCCCCAGGGCCGCTAGCAGCTGCCGAGGACACCTGCAGCTCCTGCAGGCTCAGTTCCAGCTTGCTCACGGCTTCGCGGAAGGCAAATTTGTTGCGTGTCTGCGGGATGCAGTCCACGTAGCCTGAGCAGTAATCCAGCAGCTGGTGCCCCGTGTCCACCAGCTGGCTGTTTGGCGTCGGCTCGGCGATGGCGCTCGAGAGCAGCTCCGCGCACTCCAGCAGCGCCTCCTTGCTGATCTTGTCCACTGGGATCTTCTCAGCGGCCTGCCTGGTCTTTCTCAGCGCTGCGCGGGCGCCGGCCGAGCCGTTGGCCATTTTCCCCGGGGAGGTGGAAGACGATGACAGAGGCACTTGAGGCAGAGGCAGCGCCGGCCTCCCACACTTGCCAGCAGCGGCTGCTGCCGCCGCCAGCGCCGCTGCCTTCTTGCTCCCCTCGCCCGAGTCCTGGTCGTGCTGCGCTGCCGCCCCGGCACCCGGCTCGTCCGCTGCATCCGAGCCGGAGGCCGGCTGCTGCAGGAGCCGCGCCACCGGCGGCGGAGGGGGAGCACACTTTGGTTTTACCCGTCTGGGCCGGTCCCTGTCGCCGCAAGAAGTGACCTGATGCTCAGATAAGAGCTTAAACTTATTACCCTGAGAGTCTGTGCCAATGAGCTGCACATCTGCTGGACTGTGTTTTAGCGTGGGCGAGATCAGAACTGGCACTTTGTGGTTGTGAGTGGTTGGAAGTATTGCTACAGCCTTTCCTGGAGACGACCAGCCTGGCCTCTCACCATCCTCAAGGGGCCCCTGCCGTGGGCCAGAGTTTTTCTCTTTGCTCTTAGGAGCTGCCGCCAGCCCCGGCCCCTCCTTCTCCTCCAAGGCAGAGGCCGTTCGGAAAGGCAGAGCTGTGGCGCCCCGTGGCAAGAGTTTTGCTTTTGGTCTCTCTCTGGTCAAAGCAGGGCCTTCTTCAAACCGTTTGGAAAGCAGGTCACTGGCCCTCCCTGTGCTCTCATCTGGCTGAGAGGAGGTGGACACTGTCCGTTCCAGCTGGATTTTTGACCTCTGGGAATTTCTGGGAAGGGTCATTGCCATCCTATCCTGCTCTGGAAGCCCTGAGGACATGGAAGATGTAGAGTTGGACCTTGGAAAAGGCTTTGAAGCTTCTTCACTGCCAGTGGGTTTTCCTGCTCGTAAACCCAGTGTCTTTTTAATCAAGCGTGGTGTAAAGAAACCTGTGATGCCCGACCACCCGCCACCAGCGCTCACGCCCCCGCCACCGCTGGCACCACTGCTGTCATCTCCATAGACGGTCCTCGGCACAAGGCTCCCACCAAAGCACTTTGGCGGCGCCAGGCTGGCGTCCTGCTGTGTGGCAGCAAAAGAGAACCCGTCCATGTGCTGCAAGGAAGCAACAGAGGAAAAGTTACCCGTTAGCTCATATTTCTTGTGGGGCTGGTTCTCCATCTCCCGGAAGGAGCTGCTGCGCTTCGGCGGCGTGGGCGCATTCCTCTTCTTCATGAAGGAGCTGAAGAAGCCGCCCTTCCTGTCCCTGGTGAACGTGGTCTCCTTGGCATCCTCCAGCAGGCTGCTGGGCGACTTGTCCCTCTGCTTGCGCGGCAGAGCAGGGGACCCGCCTGGCGGCTGGGCGCTTCTCATAAAGCCTACGCAGAAGAAACAAAGGCAAAGCTGAAAGTCATTCTGTTCCCACCTTCCCGTCCTGCAGCGGCCCGGGCTACTCAGCTGTCCCAGCTGTGCCGAGCTGCACTGAGAGAGGAAGACAGCATTTCTGGTTTTGTGTAGATGTGCCTCTGATTTTTTTTCCTGTTTCTGCATACATAACCTGCCTATTGCCTGAGATTTAGGAGAGAGTTCAAGGAAAAGTGAAGTATTCTTTTCTTCCAGTTATTTTCTTACTTCCCACAGCTTTTTCCTCCTTCCCTAAATACTGCCATTATAAAAGAAAATCTCCTGTATTTCGTAAGTTTTAGATTTGAAGCTGTCTTGTTTAAAAAGTAACAAAGCCAAATTTAAAGAGAAAAAAAATACAGCAGGATTTATTGAAAGTACAACCAACAGGCCTGCGGTGTTTTCTGGCTGCTGGTAAACGTCCATGCAGCTGTAGTGGCAACAAGACTGAATACCTCAATGTCTGCATTAAAAGCACCAGTCCGTCACAGAAAGGAGTGCCTAGGCCAGGTGGGACTAACTTGGTTACTAACTTAAGTAAACCTGAACAATCACCTCACCAGAGCCACAAAACCGTTTCACGTTCCAGGATTTTGTTTCTTTGCTCTACAACCTGAGAGCAAAATGGAGAGGTCTGAACAGCGTCTGCTGAGGCATGGTCCCACCTCAGTTGTGAAGGGAAGTTCTCCTGCATCCTCAGCAATGAAAAGTGGCACCTGGACTGTGACCAACAACTCCCACTCTCTTCTGCACCCTTCTACATTGCTGAAGAAAAAGCCCCCCTGCTTTCTGTCACATCAGCTCCCCGAGAAAGCAAAACTTCCATCGGTCTGACCGCTCCACTTCACTACGTCAAGAGTGAACACAGCCGGGGAGATTTCTAGCCTTGCCTGTCCTGCTGGAGTAACACAGTAAGTGTTGCGTTTGGGTACAAACCCAGAAAAGCTACTGTACTGAACTGCACCGTTGCCGAAATGTTAAGCCAAGAAGCCCTCCTGCCAGCACAGTCTGCTGCAGACCTCCAGTCAGGAGACGTTCTGTTTTCGCCTATTTCTCTGGCACTTTCCAACAGCAGCAAACCCTTCGTGAAGGCTTGGTGTCATTGCCACTGTCCTAGTGGCAATGCCCATACCTGGTGCTGAGCTGGAGGCCAAGTGCTCCACAGAGTCCTGTGTTCCTTCAATATTCTCCTTGTTCTCTGCTTGTTTCTTCAGTGTTCTAGTCTTGGAGGGAAGCATGGGCAACCGGGGCAAGTAAGGAACTATGGATGAGGAGGAGGCTGTTCTTCCAAGCTCCTCTGCAACCTCTGTAGGAAAAAAAAGACAGAGGGAATAGTTGGAAGAGAGACCAGCAGAAGAAGGAAAAAAAGAAATCTAAGTCTCTTTAGCACAGACCCAGACTAGGAAGAACAAGGCACGTGACCGAGAAAGCAAGTTATCTATAAATGCAGTTTTTGCTCGAGATCTGAGGTGTTTACAGTAAGATGCCTCTTCTTATGTTTTCAGATTAACTCATTTCTATTTTCACAAATTCAGCACAAAAGATGCAGTTAAGGTCTGTACAAGAGAAGGTCTGTGCTGGGGCAAGGGCTGCTCATAGGCTAGAGCTAAAGCTCTAGAAAGCCATTGCTTCTGTTTCTAATCACGATGCTGCACGCAGAGGTTGCTGGAATTCCTCAAAGTTGTGTTCCTTCTGGATCTGAATCTAAGTTCCTTCACTTCAGCCAAAGCACTGGCTCTCCCTATGGGAAGGGAGGACAGCTCACTTTCTTCCCAACACAAATACAAGGTAAGTGATTAAAAACAACGAAAACAAATCTGACCACCCCAGTCTGGCATTTCTAGGGGCCAACTGAAGGGCCAATTCTACAACCGCCCTGGTAGAATTCACTCATCTGATGTGTGGGGGTCTTCTTTTCCCCCTGTAGGAGGGAAGTGACTGGATGGCTCTCCCCGTTTCCTGTCTAGTTTCACCCTTCTCACCACTATTTATCTCCTCATTGACTATGCTTGGGAGTTCACTTGCAGAGACTTGCTCCTAGAAGTAGTGAAGTAGCAGCTCCAGAGAATAAGGAGTGAAGACTTTTTCCTAAAGGAAAACCGGCAGAATAGTATTTCATCATGCAATTTCTGCAGTCCAATACGGAGTATGATGTATCTTTTCCTCTCTGTCTCTCTCTCAGCACCACTCACTACTCTGTATGCTCAGTCTGGATAGAAAGGGATGATATTCTCTAGCTCTGCTCCTTTGCAAGTTGGTGCTCAAAAGAATTGCTACCATGTTCCCTGCACTAGAATATTTCTAAAGTGTATTCACTATTTGTGCAACTCATGAGATCATACATTTACAAATAGAGGGTTAACAACATTAAGGGATGAAGCTTTCATCACACGGCTAGCAGAGGAGCCTTGCAAGCCTGTCTGTAAAGCTCCACATGGAGCTGAAACTGTTTTACTTATGTTGCACAAGTAAGGCAAAAGTGGAACCCACCCTCAGAGATGCTCGAGTCGTGGAACATGGTCTCAAAGGCCTGGTGGGTCTCAGCAAAGGAAGGTCTGTCTGGTGGATTCCACTTCCAACCTGCAGCATAGGAAAGCAAGAAAAGGCCTCTTTGAAGCAGGGTAGAGGCAGATTTTGTGTTTTGTTCAACAAGGCAGAACCTAAGCTCTCTGACCTGCACACAGCCTGCGATCTGCTACCATGTGGGCTTTAGATTCATCAAGTACCAATTCATAGCAGCAATCACCCTTACTTATCCTAAAAGAAAAAGTCTTGAGAGCAAAAGAACCAGTTTCAGAAAGCCCAGTCTCTCCTATCCACACAGGCTTTTCTGATCTCCCTTTTCCTTGTCCAGGCAAAGGAGAATTCCACCTCCTTTCCACCTCCACCTCCCGGGCGATCTGCCGTGACCTGGTGGATGAGTTCACACTGGTGGGGGGCAAAGCAGCCAGCACCATTCCACTCAAGTGCTCTGAATACTGAAATCCACACAGAGTCTCCCAAAAGAAAAATATGGGCTCGTGCACCCAACAGGGGAAGGAGGAAGGGAGCACGATGTTGTGGCATGGCTTGGTAACCTATGGAATGATGACAGTGATAGCTTTTGGTCTTTCAATGGTAGATTTTTCAGTTTGTCAAATAGCATTAGGGAGCTTTGCATAGCCATTGCCAAGCCATGTCTTGTAGGAATCATTTTATACTAGTTTCACAACTGCTGCCCTCCTGTACAGCAGCTGTGTTCAGGGAGAAATGAATTTTCCTTGATTTCGTGATTCTGTAGTGACAGTCCCGTTCACTAAACACTAGTACCACTTGCCACTTCTTGGAGGTGAATTCCTACTCCATAAGACTGGTCTTGTTTTGCATCAGTAACCAGGTATCTCTTTGGTAATGTGAACATTTCTACACTAGCTAACAAACTGGCACACAAAAAGCAAAGGACTGTTGGAGAGAATTACAGATTTCTCCCACTTATCCTGGGCATCGTCCCCCAAACTGGAAGAAAATACTTACATGCCCTCATCAGTTCGTAAACCTTCGGAGGGCACCCCTCAGGTTGTTCCATCCGATAGCCCTTCTCCAGCAGATCATACACCTGAGAAAGGTCAATGCCTGGGTACGGTGACATCCCATAGGTGGCAATTTCCCATAAGAGCACCCCAAAGGCTGCACAAGGAGGAAAAAAGATCCTGGTCATAAGGATTCTGCTTATCTCTTCTGCTGCTTGTTCAAATTGTGGCTTTCACTGCAGCTTGAGGCAGTGTCTCTTTCTTGCAGATGTTTTAGGCCAGTCTTCATAGAGACATTATGTGCCAAAAATGCTACTGAACCTCCGTTCAATGTTATAGCCTAGCATTTGAACTTCTCCTTACCCATGTGTTTCTGCCCAGGCCAGAAAGYAACTTCCTCCCCAGGCTGTCAGATTAAAACAAAACATCATGGAACAGAATAGCAGAGTAGGGTTTTCTTACCCCACACGTCTGATTTGATCGAAAAGGTGTTATAGGCCAGGCTCTCTGGAGCTGTCCACTTGATTGGGAACTTGGCTCCAGCATGAGCTGTGTAGGTATCTCCAGTCATAAGTCGGCTTAAGCCAAAGTCAGCCACCTTCACCACATGATTTTCTCCAACTAAGCAATTTCGGGCTGCCAGGTCCCTATATTAAAAAAATAATAATAAAATAAAATAAAAAATACTGTTTTACTGGAGCAAGAGCACATTTATGTCATAAGAGTATTGTAGTTGAGTAGTCTGTTCCTCTCTCTTCTGAAGGACTCCTCAGTACAGCAGGTAAAGGCAATATGAGCACTGCTCTAAAAAGGGTCAAGTACTGAGCAGAGTTAATTCCCATGAGCAGTAAGATGCGGGTTCACACTTCAAATTCTACTGAATTTGCAGTATGATAGCTGTTATGATAAGAGGTTTACATTTCCTAGGAACAGGATGGGCTCAGCAGCTTCTCACACACCGGTAACAGTTTTATGGCACCATTTTATCTGATCGGATTAAAACAGGACATTTTGGTTGTCAGTGCTTTGCCCTGAAGGGGGACATCAGAACKGTCAGCACCGACTAACTCTCAGAGCTGTCAGGTGAAAGACTGTAAGTTTTATATGAAAGTCTGAGGGAGAAGGCACTGCAAGGCTGTGCCAAAGACCTAAATGGCAACAAATTATAAAGCTACCAAAATCTCCCTTAATGATGGTAMGATGTAGTGTCAACACCAAAACAGACAACAGATGTGAAGGTGAATTTTGGAAGAAAACTTTCCAGAACGAAAAAGGAATTCCATCCCTCACTACGGCCAGAGACTGCCCCAGCCCAGTGGGATTTACCCACCTGTGAATGAAGTTTTTCTTCTCTAGATATTCCATAGCTGAGGAGATCTGCGTGGCCATGTAAAGCAGCACAACAGCACTCACTTCCTCCCGGTTGCACTCTCGCAGGTAGTCTAGCAGGTTCCCATAGGGCATGTACTCCGTCACGATGTAAAAGGGTGGCTCCAGGGTACACACACCTAGAGGTGAGAAGGAAGCAGCACATGAGCAAAGCTCCCTTTTCCTTACCTCACCAATATTCCTGATTGACTACCAGTTTGTTCTACTTTGTACCAGCTAGAAGTTTTGTGAAAAACTGAAAACTTTCCTCTACAAGACCTGGATTAATGCAGGTTAGCCTGATATGCAGGGTTTCTATCCCTCTATCTATCGTTCCACTTTGTCCCTGTCCACATGGATGGAGAGAAACACATTTATCAGATCACTCCTCTTTGTATATACTGTGCATAAAGCAGCCAATCTGCTCGTGGGAGAGTTACAGAATGAACCAGGAGGTATTCTGAACAGCTCTGATCTGTTTTTTCCCTCCCCTCTCTCTACTTCAAGCTAAAGTGAGGCCAACTGGAAGGAGGTACCTGTCAATTGGCCAGATTTCCAGATTGGAATGTCACTCCGGAGTAGCAGGAAGCACTCCCTTGTGTGCTGGCTGTCAAATGATCAGTGCTGTGGGGCCTGCTCACACACTCCTCAGGTGACTACCTGCTACAGTCATTGCAGTTATGTGCAAAGCATGTTTTAGAGAAGGGCAGCAACAGGACACCCATGTCAAATCTCTGTGCAACACATTTGCTTTCCCACCACAGCACTGCTGAGTGTCTGCTACATCCAGGAAACAAAACAAAACAAYACCATGCATCAGAGGGGCAAAATTCATCTGAGCAGAAAATCTTTAAGTCTCTGCTCCTGATACCAGACAGGGTTGAGAAGACATCTGTGCCCATTTTTTAACCGGGTACAGAGTAGCAGAGATTATCAAAATCCTTCACATCCTTCACATTTCTCCTTTCTTCCTAGGCTTGGCTTGACAGTGCTGCTCCTGAAAGCAGCAGAAGCCCAGATGCAACTAAACACTAGTAAACATTCAGGCTATCTGCTTAAGAATCTTTGTACATGTAAAACAGTCCACAGAGCTGTTAATTCAAGAATGACCACCATATCATGCCCTTCCAGTGAGATAAACAGAGTACAGTCAAGCTGTAAAGCCTACAGATTTCTTCTATCGATCCAAGTTTGATCTGACCTGCATCTCYAATGCCTTGGTCTCATGTACTTATCTGGTAACACACAGTAGTCCCTTCTCATAGCAGCAATAATCCTGGTGTCTTCTACTTAGTTATGGACGGCTTGCTCTACTCAGTGCTGCTTTTTCTATAAACATCTCTGAACTTTCTACAAACACCTCTGCTAAATGAGGAAAGGTAGTAGCTGCATTTTTCACTACACATTTTTCATTACTTTGAATGCTCTTATGTTTTTGATCTGTGCTATCGATACAATGACCGAAAACAATTTTGGAAGGCTCCTTTAACTAAGCAAAAAAAGGAATCAGACTCTTAATTGATAACTGATCTCAGAAACTTAGCTAAAACGAAGCTTGAGGGGTATTAACTAACAGGAGGCTGACATGCAAACTTGCACATGATGCATGGGCAGGTCTCAACAGCAAACTTGTTTATTAAGTTGCTGTTCGATGTTTTGTTTAAAATTAGTGTATCTTCGCTCCAACACTACATGAAGAGTTGTCAAAAGCATCACCCCAACCTGACCTGATTTTAAAAAAAGTTATACAAATATAGAATATCTGCCACTGCTTTTCAAGAGATTTCATTTTGATAGAAAGCGAGTACTAACAAAAAGATCAAGCTAACCCAATAACTAACCCAATAACTGCACCAGGTTTGGGTGTTTGATTTCCTTCATTACAGCAGCTTCTTTCAAGAACTCTTCCACCTCCATGGTGTCTTCCTAGATAAACAGAGAGACAAAAGACTACAAAATTTATCTTTATGAGAAAGGTCTGTTGAACACCACATATTCTAGGTGAGTATAAATGACAGTATCGTCATCTCCATTTTGCTCTTTTGGCCTTTACCAAAGCAAAAAAGGAAGACAACACACATGAAAATCTGGCTGGCCAGCCTGCAGCATTGCTGAGTGACAGATATACAGCACCCAGTAGCTGCAATGCTTTCTTATKTGGTAGCCACTGGGACTACCAAAGTAGTGTGGCTGGTAGGGGAAAATTCTCAGTTACTGACTTATTTCCACTGGCCAGCCATAAAAATTAAGTTTCAAAGTTCCCTTAGGTAGGAGATACATRGAATTGCAGCTATTCAATGGCTTTGGTAAGAATTATAAATGGAGAAGCTGAACTTTTGCAGGAGCACAGAAAAGCTTGTAAATAATGTTTCCAATACTCTTGCTTTCTTAGAAACCTGAACATTGCTTGTGAGGGAAAAGAAACACACTCAGTTACTATTTCTACTGATCAGGCTTGGATATGCAGCTCCTGCAGGAGCTTGCAGAGCCAGAAAAAGCATCAAAAATGTTTCCAGGCCCTATGCACAGTGTCAAGTTCAATACACGAGCTTTKTTCTACATACTACTCTCAAGAATGCATTAATACAGATAAAATACAGATTTCCACTACAGATCCAGTACAGATACTGGATTTAATACAGATTAATACAGATCAGGCATTTGTATCATTAGACARACAGAATTGAGAATGCATCACCATTCCTGAATATGAATGACAGCAGAGTAACAGGTACATAGCAACTTGGAAACCTACCTTTAGTGTTTTCACAGCAACCGTGAGATTGTATTTTTTCCAGACGCCAACATAGACTTCCCCATACTGCCCTCCCCCCAGTTTRTGCTTCATGGTGATATCAGTTCGCTCCATCTCCCACTTGTCGTGGATTGGGGACACGCCATAGACCGTGGGCTTATTGCACTTGGGTGCTGGGTAATGCAGAGTTGTCACCAGGCCATCTGCTACTGTGGAGTGATGATGCACCAGCTCTGCCAGGGTGCTGAACCGGCTTTCTGCTGTCACATATACCTGTTGAGAAAGAACCAGGAGTCTGTCTTAAAAACAGCGGCTGGAAGCTTTCACTAACACTGGAAGACGATTAAAAAAAAAAAAAAAAAAAGGATGGGAAATATACTTTAAAGTAGTAGTTGTTCACAGTATGGGCACATGAATATGTGAGATTTTTACCAGCAGGTGGCAGACGGAAATGGAGGAGGGCTATCCCGGAGCAGCAGTGCTGTCTGCTGCCCTATCCTCTCCAGAAGCAGAAACTGGGATTCTTGTAGCCAAGGGCTAAGTCCAGTCTCTGCATTCCTTAACCCAACATACTGTTATGTGATTGATCAAGGCTAAAAATGTGGATTTACCAAAACTGTGCTTATTCCAACTGGAGCAGGGGAAATTTATCACTGCATCAAAGAACTGCATTGCTCCCCAGCTATGTCCTCAGCCACGATGAATACAAATGGTGCTCTATGAGTTAAGAAATACAGCAGAGAGAGAGATGTCCCCTTCCTTTATTATCAAGCCAGCAAGCCAATTTTCTCTTACACACATCCCTCCCTACCTAACGAGGTCTGCAGCTTCAGAACCCGCACGGCCTCTTAGCTGGYGTCCTGACTCCCTCTGCGCGCAGAACCTTACCTTTCCATCCGAGGTGGTGTTGATCCTGTAGTGGTAAACACGTCCTTCGTACCTGAGCGAGATGGAAAGCTGCCCCGGGCTGCTCTCGCTTTCACGGACCAGGAAGCTGCCGTTGATGAGGCTGCTCAGCAGGTACTCGGCCGCACTGCGCGACACTGGCCCGTGATACCACGAGTGCTTCTCCAGGCTGTTCACCGGGGTGATGTAGTTGCTTGGTACCCAGCCCTGCCCGTTCTTTGAACGTACCTCGCTCCATTCACCATTCTGGTTATAACCCAGGACTCGCAACTTCTCACCTACGACCAGAAGGGGAAAAAAAGTAAAATGATCTGTTGGGTCTCATTAAGAGAGATGCTCAAAATCAGCACCCTAAGCCTACGCTGGTAGCTAAACAATAATAATCTATAGGGAAATCATAATGCAGTGTTCTATTTAAAAGAAATTAAAAGTAAAGTTTCAGATAGATAACAGAACAATTTAAGATACTGTTCCCTATTTTACTGCAGCTTGGATGATCAATTCAAAAGCTTTCTGTGGTTCAGATTTTTAGACCAGAGAGACTTTTTTATTTGGAGAGCTGAGGAATATCTTTGTCTTGAAGCCTTAAATGGCATTTGATGTAAAACAGCTGTATAACAGTGTGTGTTCTCATATACACAGTGAATAAACAGAGACAGAAAAAACGCCTGCAGGCAGTTGTTARAATTCTTGATCTTGCTCCACGTGAAGGAGCGATGAGTTCTGCCATCAGCAGTAATGTAAAGGTTGTTCTSTCCCGCTCCCCAGGGCAGGGATTTGGAGAGCTTAGGACAACAACAGGAGYTGGGCAGACTGTTGAGCAGTATCATACAAAGCCCCCGCTGCAACAGGAGAACTGCCCGGCAGGTGTCCCTCTGACACAAGCGACACGGCGGTGCATTCACCATCAGCAATTTCACACACAATCTCCAGCTCCATTCAGTCCTGTTCTTCCCAGCAGAATGACTGGAGAAGGATTCAGCTTCCTGTTTTGGGCAGCTGCATTTGCAACCTGCTTGCCTCTCTGCACTCACCTTTGGTGATGCTGAGTGTGTTGTCACCGCTTGCTACAAAATCATAAAGTGCAACAAAGAGATTGGGATCGCTCTCAGCAGCTCCAAGCAGGTTCTCCTTGGAGCTCCACCTGATGGCTTCGTTCAGTGCCTGGGGCTCAACATCACAACCGTAGGGGCGGTGCAGGGCCTCTGGAGAAAGAACAGATGGGGAAATTACTTTGTGCACAGTTGTAAAGGAATCAAAACCCAGAGCAGAGCAAAGCTCCTGCTTCACAGTTTGCCCCTCACAGAAAGGGATCGCCTCCTCTGGACATGTTGACCACTGGAGCAGCGGTTTTCAATCCTGATTTTACTGACTCTTGAGGAATTTTCAATCCTGATTTTACTGACTCTTGAGGAATTCAGGGTTATTTCTAAAAGAAGAATGGAAAAGATGACTGATTTTTCTACATTTTTTCAAATGGCAAGATCATCATTAGCTTTCTAATCCATAAAGAGGTGTTCCAGGAACACGCAGCAGAACAAAACTTGGTATTAAGACAAGTGAAAAGGAGACTATATCGCATAATAGATGTGGGCTGGTCAATGCAGGGGCAAATAAAAGACAGTGTAGGAATACAAATATTTCCTTTGACGGCAAACTGACATGTTCCTACCTCTCTGGGCATTCCCAAATCCTCTGGGTGAATTCAGAGAACAGATTCAACAAAATGCACCCGAGAATAGGCTCAATGAAATGTACTCAACATGAAAAGTTGCCTGTGTGAGGTTTGAGGGTTTCTGTGATTTTTAAATTGCTCTGGCACACTTATGAGAGGCAAGAAGTCRGCGGGATGGAGAACTGGGATGTCAGGGAGACACAGAACTGGAAGAAGCCAAGGCCAAGCAGCAGGCAAACACACGCCAAACCCGTGTCATAGTCCAAGCTCAAGCCTAGAAAACCAGAACACAGGGACTCCCCCAGCATCCACCTTTTAACAATTTGCCTTTATTACACGTACACACAGAAGCACACGGTTCAGGTTTGTACTATTTTGTTTTTAAGCATGCAGCTAAGCAGTGTTTCTGGTAATAACTTCAAGTTACACTGCCTGTATAATCTGCTCATCTTGCAGGTACTAATAGCTTAACTCCCCTAACCCCTGCCAAATACCACCCTACCTTGGCAGGCCTCTCCAAGCAAGAACAGAAGCATATGGACACTAAGGTACCTACATTTCACTTCTGCTATTTCAGTGGCTGCAGACACAATATTAGCACACACTTCCTGTTCCTAACTATTAGTTTTACAACATACCAAGAGAAAGCATAAGCAAGCATAACATCCATGAATTAAATAATATTTTCTTCACTCTCCTACAGCGCCCTGAAGCAAAATCGCTCAGCGAGCCTGCCGTGGAGCAAATCCAACTTGAAGGGATTTTCTCCCATTCTTTTTCATGCRAGAACTGAGCATCCAGGCCTTGTTGAGCTGCCAGAGAGCACTGCTGAGCACCAGGCTCCACGGGCCGGCAGCGGCACAGCCGGCGCACGCTCCCAACACATTACCAAAATGAGTCTAAAGAAGCTAGTGAGGATGTTTAACCACCCAGCTGCACCATCTACCTAAAAATCAAATACTCTTAAGACCTTATGTCTCATTGACTTCCTCCTTTCTCCTTTTTAGAGTAGCTCAGACACCGGGATAACTGCAAGATCTGCCCACTATCTATTAAGCTGGGGATTTACCAGGGCATAAAAATGCCGCCAGGGCATAACAGTCAACGCTGTTCAACATGGTTTGGAAGCTGGACAGTCCCATTTGTATGGAAGAATAAGTTAAATACTGTAACTGGCCTCATTAAGGAAACATTCACATAGGTGAAGCGTTTAACAAATGCAGCCCCACCGCAGGACTGTGTGTAAGTTCAGTTCACACCGTGAAGGAAGCGAGGTGGAAAGGTCTGTTTCGAATCAGCTCCTTTCAAAGCCTCACCACAAACTGCATTTTAGTCCCCTCCTTCCTTCCCTGTGCGACGGAAAGCCTGCATCCCAGCGGGCTGTGCCAGCAGCACGGGATCAAGCCAGGAACCGGCGCTTCACGCGCCTCCTTTCATTCCTTTATTCCCACAAAACAACGTGCTA